TCTCTCTCTCTCTCTCTCTCTCTCTCTCTCTCTCTCTCTCTCTCTCTTGTCCCTACCCCCTCTATGTTTATGAGCCACCTGGGCAAAATAAAAAGTAAAAATGACATTTTGGTAGGGAGAAATAAAACATGCTCTTTTGGTCATAAGTACTTCTTAAAGACTAGCCAGCACTATCTCATCAAACTTTCTATGATGATGAAATTATTTTATAGTAGCCACCAGCCACCTGTGGCTACTGAGCACTTGACATTGGCTCAGACTATTAAGTTAGTTGACTCAGAAATTTAGGTCATGAAAATATTTTGATCTGTAAACTTTACTTGGCTCATCACCCAGTGTCTGAAGGAGTTATATTTATTTTTCAAATGCTTACCACGAACCTGAGGGTTTTTAAAAGCAAGAGTAATCCCATTATACCCTCCCAAGACTCCTTCTGATTATCTTTTCTCTTTCTAGATCTTTAGGGCTTTTGTTGCTACTAGATGTTACCAATCAATACTTAAATCTGTTAAGGTTCAGTCCTCTAAAAATATACAAAAAGTCCTCCTCTATCCCACCCTGCCCAGCCTCTGCCCCAGCCATCTTTCTTCCTAGCTCCCTCTTCTATTCTAAGCCAGACTTGTTAAGCTAGGATGTTCACCATCCACACTTTCCAATCATTCCTTAGCCCATACTGCTCTGGTTTCACTCCCACATCTGCTAAAAAGACATCAGTGACGTTTTCGCCAAATCTCATGGACACGTTTAGTCTTATTTTACTTGGTTTCCAACACAATGAGACACTTCCTCTTTTTTAAAATATCCTTTTCCCTTGGCCTCTTTGATGCCACATTCTCCCTCAGCCTAATTGGTGGCTCCTGTCTCTTCTTCTTCTTTTTCTCCTTTCTCCTCTTTCTCTTCTCCTTCTCTTTGTTTTCAGAATCCAAGGCCTCACAAATGCCAGGCAAGTACTCTACCAATGAGCCACATGCCCACTTGGCACCTTTTATTGAGATAAAACAGAAGCATTTTGAGCAGAAAAGGTCCATAATTAGGAACATGTCAAACTGATGACTGTGAGTGGGGTGCAGTGGTGCATGCCTGTTTTCCCAGAGGCTCTAGAGGCTAAGGCAGGAGGATCCTGAGTTCAAAGCCAGCCTCAGCAACTTAGCAAGGCTCTAAACAACTTAGCAACACCCTGCCTCGGAAAAACAAAAAAGGGCTGAGGATGTATTCATTGGTTCAACACCCATGGGTTCAATACTTGGTACCAAAAAAAAAAGAAAGGAAAGAAAATTGTTACAGTGAGAGATCCAAATGGATACAGCCAGAATAGGGATCTGGTTATATGAACTAGATTCCCAAGGTTCACCTCATTCTTCAAATTCTGAAATCCCTTTTACATTGGCCTTAGCCTCTGCTTTATATGATACTTTATCTCTACCTTAACAGAGAAAAACATGGATGTACGACAATCAATCCCTCTTTTAGATTGCCATCTAAGTATAAACAACTCCCAGATTTGTATCTTCACCCCCATCTTCTCTTTGGGGATCCAGTTCATGTGACTAGCTCCCTATTCTAGCTGTATACTTTTGGATGTCTCACTATCACCATTTTGACATGTTCCTACTTAGGATCTCTTCCACCCAAAAGGCTTCTCTTTTATCTCAATAAATGGTACCACCATTCTACCCAGTTGCCCATACCAGAAACTTTGCTTTTTGAATGCTTTACCATTACTTCACATTATGAATAATTTTTCATTCATTCTGTTAGGCACTTCATCAATCTTCAGTCTGAAGACTTACATCATTTTTCAGCTATGGAAAAATATTTCTCTATGGTTACTATTCTTTTATTTTATGTTCTTTGTATTTGCTTTCTATATCTCTCATTAGCAGGATATTGAAATTTCTAGGTTTACCTGCATTATCCTTTAACTTTTATTCATACTCATCAACTCTTGACTTGTGTGCCAAATTGAAGAAAACTCCTCAAGTAGATCTGCCAAACCACTATTCACTTACTGGTTCTGTCTGTCATTTGTTCCATCAGATTTCACCTGATTTTAAAAAGTCTCTGCCTGTTCTTAGAATAATAGCTTTCAACATCTTCTCCCTGGCAGTATTATGTTTCTTTTAATATCTCTACCTTTCTTAACCTTACCTCAAGCTTTGTTGCCTTTATCTACTGAGTTCTGAGTTCTGCTCATCTGTTCTTTGCTTATACATGTAAAATTTTTGACAGATGCATATCTTTTTTTTAAAAAAAATTACCTGCTTGCCAGTCAATTATTGTCATTTCTGCCTGCTGTGGCCTGTCTCAGGGGTGAAAGGGGACAGGTGAGACATATGGACAAGAAATGTCAGTTCCTGTTTTCAACACAGGTTCCCCTTGTTTTTCCTGGGCATGGGCAGTTACCTGGGTGTGCATCTAGCTGGTCATTTCCTCAACACTTCTTTCCAAGCTCACATTTCCTGCTTAGGCCTGTAGGGACATGCCTCTGCTTTGTGCTGGTTGTCACTGAGAGTTGAGAGGATTAACTTGTCTGTCTGCTCCTCCTGCTTTTCTCCTAGCAACCTCTTCAGTTACTTTGGGGCCCTACCTGCTCTTCAGAATCCAGGCCCTCGGTTTTCCCTTCTCCAACATCTCCTAGCTTGTAGCATAGCCACAGGCGTTCCCATCTTAAGACACAGCTCTCTCCAGCATGTGAAGTCACCATTGCCTTTGACAGTCAAATCCAGCCTGCAAGAATTCTTTCTTTTTTCCATGCTTTTAAAAATCTTTTCTTTGCCAGGGATTTCAGGAGGGAGGAAGAAACGGATAGATAACCTTGGCCCTTAATTTAACGTTATTCAATATTCATGATCCCTTGTACATAGAATTAGTTTCCCTTTGTAAATCTCTCTGGTTCTTTATACAATGTTGAGATATGATACCCTCTTTTTTTTTTTTCCAGCACAATGGGACCCAAAAGTTTTTACAGCTTATGATGTATTTCGTGTAAGTCTAATTACATCTGAGCTTATTGTACAGGAAGTAGAAACACAACGGAATGGAGTCAAGGCTATATTTGATCTGGAAGGTTGGCAATTTTCTCATGCGTTTCAAATTACCCCATCTGTAGCCAAGAAGATTGCTGCTGTACTTACTGTAAGTGAATATTTTAACTCTTAGGTATCATACTTCCAAATGTTAGTTTTAAGTTTTGCTAGAGTATTTAATAGAAGCTTAAATAAAATTTCAAAAATGATATGTATAATTCAATAATGCTAACAGGAAGTGAAATTTATTTATACAAAATATTTAAAAATCATGAAAATAAATGTTCAAAACCAGTAAACACAGAATTTATACATTTAGATAGTAATGTGGTAAAAATCTTACCCTAGATTTAAAAACTGACTGAAAAATGTTTATAACAATTATACAATAAAAGGTCACATAAATCTTGGTGTAGGCATAAATTGATATGACTTTTTTTTTTAAGGTTTTAAAAATGGTCATTGTCTTTGACCCAGTAATTCTACTTCTAGGTAAAGAACAATCTTAAATATAGTAAGGGCTTTGTATACCATCATAATATTAGTTTACTGGGGCTGGAGATGTAGCTCAGTGGGAAAGTGCTTGCCTAGTATGTGCGAGGCCCTGGGTTCAATACCCAGTACTGTAAAAAGAAAAAGAATATATATATATATATATATATATATATATAAAATA